CCTTTCAGTTCTTTTGCCGGCTCACCGACGCTAAATAGCGCCTCCAACATAGGCTCGTAGTCTAGATCCAAGTTCACACCTCCTGACACAAGTACCCCAGTCTTGTGCCGGGCGCTCTGCTTAGTTAACACCCAGACGTCCCCCGACCACCCAATTTATCATCTCCGAAGTCCCGCGGTACAGGCTACTTTCCTCCTGGGAGGTCATTTTCACCACAATAAGTTCAGGGACGACTTGCATAGCCTAAGATCCTACTCACACGCCGGGATGGGGCGTACACCAACGTCCAGCTTCTCATGTACGCTCCACCATGGGTTGCGGCTTGTTTTACAACGTCGTTGCCAAGCGACGAAAACCCAACCCCGATGGCAAACACCGGGGGGGGCGGTCTTGTCTTGGAGGGGGGGGCGAGAACGCATGATGTTGTCATCTTCGACCAGCCCCGAAGCAGGGCCGTGAGACTGTGAACACATGTGTGGGAGGTGGTGCGTTTTCGACTATTGCTCGTTCTGTTCTTTTGAGGAGGCATGCAAAGGTTTCCTAGTACCGCTGTGGGATGGTGAAATGTTGGACCCGCATCTGGCATGGACAGTACTGCCAGCCACGACTCCCTTTGTGCTTTATTCCCCGAGGTGGATGAATGAACTCTGCCTCGTTGTTGTGGCAGAGGAAAGAAAGACGGCTGACACGTTTGGATGTCGTTCTGCAGGAACTGTCGTCCGAGATATAGCCTAGACGTTTCGCCTTCTCAAACATCGACGCAAATCAGCCCACTGGAGCACTTCCCACAATTTTCAGCTCAGGACATACTTTCTGGTCAAGGAACAAAAATAGACCATCCACACCTTTGCACTGTTTTCATCACAGCTGCAACGAGAACGAGACTATGCATCCGTCAAAGAGGCTCGACGAATCTGGGTTCAGGGCCTCGAGGGAGATCGCGCCGCCGCCGCTGCCGCCGCCGCCGTCGCTGCTGCCAACGTCACTGCTGCCGCGACCGCAGCCGAGAAGCCGTCCCCAGCGGGAGTCTATGGCGGACAGGGAGTGTTGTCCTTCCTCGACCCCCCGACATCCGAGGCCGAAGCGTTTGCCGCAGCGGCCATCACGGAGAGGTACCGCGTGCTGGGAGAAGAGGCGGACGCCCGCGCGGCGCGAGCTCGTTGGAAGCGGCAGCGAAGCGCGCGGGTAGTGGCGGCCCGCGCCTCTCTGAAGATGCTCTACGAGGAAGAAATGCACCTGTGGGAGGGAATGGCGGCAGGAGCAGGGCCAGGGGCGGAGAGCCACAGCACTACTGCCGGACACGAAGCAGGTGTTAGCGACGTAGACAACGCAGATAACACCCTTCAGGATGTTGTTGATTCGAGCTCGGCGGACGCCGTTGGTGGGGGCCCCGACAGCACCGATGGAACCGGTGGCGGACAGATGGGTCACGTAGTCGAGCAAGCGGTAGCTGAGGGCGAGCTTATCGCCGACAGTGATGGAAGTAGGGTTGAGGTTCGGGCAGAGGAAGAGGTGGGCACAAGCAAGCGCGGAAGAGACTCTGAAGGCTCTGAAGCGCCGGACAAACGCCCAGGGGGCGATGATGCCAACATCTCACCCGTGGGTATGTTGGACGCGCCAAGTGGGCAATTGGCAGGCGTGGCTGAAGCGGTTGGCAGCGCGGGGAACGATGCTCAAGGAATCAAGTTTTCGCATGTGACCATCGTGCAAGAACCTGGGGGAAAGTCTCACGGAGTGTCAGGAGCGTTCGCGGCGAACATCGACGGCGGTGGCGATGACGCAACGACGAGGGGCCCCCTGCCTGGAAGGTCTGGCGTGAGGAGAATCGTCCAGGAGCCTGGCGGCAACTCAAGTGCCGTCTCGCGCATCCTGAGCCATGATTCTGCTGACGGCGTCGACAAGGCGCAGAGAGCCGGACCCATCGCTGAAGACAGCAGAGAGCGTGAACACGACAACAACGACGGTGAGCACGTCTCGAGGGCCACCGTCCGAGAATCTGGCCAGAGTGCTGTCGGTGGCTCGCTTGCCGTGGGAGCCGACGCGCCGATGGCGGTGGGGAAGGTGGGAGGTGATACCGAAAGCCGCAGCGGTACCCGAACGGCGTTGATAGACCCGCCGACTTTCGGAGACCGGACAGATCCCAACGCTGCCGATTCAAGACCAGAGACTGTGAAGGGTGGCGCTATAGCAGCAAAACCAGACCCAGAAGGAGCCAAAGCCAAGCGCCCTAACGACAGTTGGAGCCTATTTCTGGAAGCACCCGACAAGGGAATCGGTGCGTTGGACTTGGGGACGGATGGGGATGCTCCCCTTCCGCTGGAGGTCATCGTGCGCAGATGCGTGAGAGAGCCCGTGTTGGCCCAGTGCAGCGCGGTAGATTCGGCGGCGCTGGCGTTCCTGGTGCGAGATGCGGGTGTGACGGAGCACCTGGCCTCCTTGCGAACGTTCTTGCTTGGCCTCACGTCCGACTTTCTCCACGACTTTACCCTGCGCTTACTGGATGGGCTCTACGATGGCGGGTGAGGGACGGAGATGGCGGGTGAGGGACGGAGATGTCATAGAGGATTCGGCGAAACTGCGCAGCAGAGAATGTCAGTCACCCCAAAGTCAACAGTGACTGTCACAAGAAGCATCTGCGGCGGGAGGTTACCTAGCAAGCCGATAGATTCGTGTTGATATGCTCACAAGTATTTTCGGTGGATGCTTGTTAAGACCGAAATGACAAGACTGAGTCTTGAAACATGTCTACCCCGAAACACCACATCTTTCCGCGCTCGCAGGGTGGACTGGCGCCGCTCCTCCAACCTCGACGCTGCGTTCGCGGCTTCGGCGTTAGCGACAGGGCTTGATTCCGTACCCCTCGCGGAGACGTTCCGGTACGAGGTCGACCCCACTTGCGGCGGCATCCTGGGCTCGGGGCCGGCGACAGGATCGTTGGACCTCGGCAGGACAGCAGACCCGAGCGGCATGACGGGGAGCGCCGCGCATTCGGCAACCGCCGCCGTCACCACCCCCACCACCACGCGTGCTGAGTTATCGTTGTCGTCCTCGTTGTCGGTTCAGGAGGAAGAGCTGTATTCGCCGGTTGCTCTGTCTTTCGTGTCGCCGGTTCTCGAGGTCAAGTGGCCGGTGGGCGTGCTTCTGCCGACGGGGGTGCTCCACACCTACGGAAGCATTCACCGGTCGCTGATCAGGCACCAGCTTGTGCTGCACCGTTTAAGGCGATTGCGCCTTGTGTTGCGGGAGCTGGATGCGTGCTTGGATGCGGCGAGCGGCGGTGGTATCGGTGGAGTTGGGGGGGCGGGGCGGAGAAGCGGCCGGCGGCAGCGGGGGGGGGCGAGAGTTTCATGGGACAGGGGAAGGCTCCATTGGTTGCACTTGTTCCGGCATGAGATGCAGCACATGGCCGACAGTCTGCAGGTGAGTTATGTCCAGCAGCGGGAATTCCAGCAAGGGAGAAACGTATCAGTTGAAGGACACTGCTGTCGATGTTGATGTTTGTAGAAATGCGGTCACGGCGTGAGATGATGGGAGCGCTGAGTTGGTTTGAAACTTACTCTCGTACGAGTGCTCAGCTACTGCCGACGGTGGTGACAATTTCAGAAATATTTCCTCGCTAAGAAATCGCCCACCTCTCAACAGCACTGGTATCCAACTTGAAGTAGTGCAATAACGTGCCACATTTGTTTTTGTGGAGGAAGTCAGCGGCTCTAGTTATTCCCCACCCTGTCCTCGACCATTCGTGGTTCATATTCGTCACCCACACCGCTGAACACTCGTTTTCGCAGCTCTAAACGGGGTCACCCGCCCTTACACCCTCCCACCCCAACACGCACCGAACAGACCTACTTCGTAGAACAGGCGGAGGCAGGCTGGCCAAACCTCCGCCGGTCGCTCGCCGTCGCGGGAGGAGGGGCGGCTAGAGGTGGAGGGGGGGGTCTTGCGGCACTCGTGGCCGCTCACTCGCGCTACATCACCAAAATGCAGCGCTACATGTTCCTCGGGACGGATAGGCAGGGTGCGGTCGCGCGCGGTAGCATCCAAGAGTTCTACGCAGTGATTTGCACCGTCGGGAGAGTCACGGACGGCCTGCTTTCTTCAAAGCCTTCGCGGTTTCCCCCCGCTTTAGTCGAGGACGTAATTGATGGTACCTGCACCGGCAGCGCTGTTGGGGAGATGGTTCTGCCTGACGAGGCTTTCGCAGAGTTGGCGGCCGTCAGAGAAAAATTCGACGCCGCGAGGCGGGGACTTTGCGCGGCCCTTTCGGAGATTTGCGCGGCGGGCGGCGGGACTCGGGCCAGACCGCTCCTTTCCGTCATTGGGTATGGCGGGTACGGGGGCGACGACTTTTTTGTTGCCGCTGATTTGTCGCGATAGTTGCACCAGAATCGGCTTTCAATATTTCGAGCTAGTAGGGTGCCAGGAAGCCGTGGTGTGTGGTCGCGGCGAGGTTGTGGTACCAGCCTATTTGAGCCCGGAATTCCCTACCCAGACTTGTTGAATCGACGTTGCAGAGGAAATGCGAGCAGGCCAATCGTCTTTGTGGTGTTGTTTTGCGCCCAACAACTTTTTCACGGCGGCGTTGCGACGCCGCTGGTCCTCTCCCAAGGCGGAAGGGTTGATTTCTGATTTGGATGGTGCCTGCGGCTTGCCAGGAACACAACACAAACTCCCACATAGATTGCGGTCTCCTTCCTGGGTGAGCTAGCCCAGCATTACGATGTCGGCAATGTGGTTGTGGACGCCGTTCAACACGTGCACAGGTAAAGCATGTGGTACGGCATATCGGCACCGTCAAGACACAGGCAGGCGCCTGAACGGGAAGGATTGGCCTCGGCCCATGCAGGGCGCCCGTCGATAACCGCGTTAGAACACCGAGTCGAAAACGAAACTTAAAGACCGTGCTTAAACACCGAGCACGGCACAAAATGCTTTCTTCCGCTACCAGTCAGCATAGGGTCTTGTCCCTCAGCCATCCCTCTATATGGACAAAATCAACCAAAATCACGGATTACGGATCCCCGCGCTCCAAAATAAATCTTAAAAACAACTCATGTCCATCCAATAAACTCATTCCTCTCCCGCTGGTGGCTCTTTACTTCGGAGCAACTGTTCCATGGCAACTGCGGAACCGTCGTTGGCGTTGGTCGGTGCCATGAAACGGGCGGCTGCCCTGGCGGGGGGAGACGCGTTTCCGACGCACACGCCGACACCCGCGAGACGCAACATCTCCACGTCGTTCTCTGCGTCTCCTGCCAACGAAAAAACGGGGGTGAACGGGGGGGGGGGGGGGG